GGGTTTTGACTCTCTCCAGCGAAGGAGACTCCACAGCCTCTCTGGGCAAACCGCTCCAGGGCTCTGTTACTCCCCTCGCAGTGAAGAAGTTTTTCCTCATGTTCAGAGGGAACTGCCTGTGCTTCAGTTTGTGCCCGTTGCCTCTTGTCCTGCTGCTGGGCACCACGGAGAAGAGTCTGGGCCCACCCTCTTGACACCCTCCCTTCAGATACTTGTAAGCATTGATAAGATCCCTCCTCAGTCTTCTCTTCTCCAAGAAGAAGTCTCAGCTCCCTCAGCCTTTCCCCACAGGAGAGATGCTCCAGGCCCCTCATCATCTTTGTAGCCCTCCGCTGGGCTCTCTCCAGGAGTGCCATGTCTCTCTTGTCCTGGGGAGCCCACAATTGGACGCAGTAGGCCAGGGGAGGCCTCCCCAGGGCTGAGGAGACGGGCAGGATCACCTCCCTCCACCTGCTGGCAACACTCTTCCTCATGCAGCCCAGGACACCATTGGCCTTCTCGGCCACAAGGCTGTATTGCTGGCTCACGCTCAACTTGTTGTCCACCAGCACTCCCGGGTCCTCCTCTGTGCAGCTGCTTCCCAGCAGCTCAGCCCCCAATTTTTGTTGCATCAATGGCAAGATTCTTGCTCTCCTATGTCCTGCTCAGCATCCTCCTAGACAAGCAGGGTCAGACAGCTCAGGACAGACAGAAGATTGAATTTTTTAAGCAAAAGAAGAGAACTTAAAACTTCTGATTAAAAGATTACTTCAGTAAGGGCCTGATTGCACTGCTCAAGCAAGTAAAGCAGCTCTGTGTCTGCAAGAAGAGGAACTTTATAAGGGAGTTTTATAGTGACTGCTAGGTCATACAAGAGTAACTCCTTGTGTGCTAAGCTAAAGGGCCTACCTCGCCCAGGAGTACCGAAGGGGTAATGAAGTATGCCAAGAGGAGCAGTGGCTGAGAAGGAGTTGCCGGGCCCAACAGCTGTTCGGGGCACGAAAGCCTTTCTGTGGGAGCAGGGCAGCCTGGAACGCTGCCAGGGCAGCCGCAGCCAGAGAAGGTGTCCAGGGAAAGGGGAGGAGGAAGCCAAAATCCAGGTGTTGCTGCCACTGCAAGGCCTTCTGGGTGTTTAGTAAAGATTTCTTTCACAGTTTGAAGCAGCAGATTATTTTCTGGCTTGTGATTTAGGGCTGTTCATGCAGGTAAGGCCAGGCCTAGTGCAACTGCTGCTTTGTGTTCCTTCTTCCCACAAGAAGATGTGAAAGCCCACAGTCTCTAGTACGAAGTTTTGGGGAATAGGAATTAACCCACGGTTTCCCTGAGACAGGCAAGTGAGAGCTGAATAGCACTAAAAGTCATTCTAGCTACCTTTTTCTGCTATGGCTTGGAAAAGGCAGCACAAGGATACACCTCGCTGTGGAGGTGGGGGTGTACACAGGTTTTTTGGTCTTTAGGTTGCATGAAGGAGACAGTTAGAAATAATGCTATTACGTAACAACTTCACCTTTATTCCAACTAATGACTGTAGCAGCCTAATCCCTGGCTTTTTCTGCATTCTTTCCAGGAAAATCATTTTCTGATGATTTTAATGCCAAGTTCAAAAAGGGAAGAAAGTAGCTTTGAATCATTGGATGGCTTTGTGCTATCTCAGGCCCTTTACATAGCCCTTCTTACACATAGCCCTTCTCATAAAGTCTCTGGGTGAAGATGGAGGTCGCACTCTTACAGGGATCAAACCCAGGGGCCAACTAAATGCCAGTCAGCACTTTGTTCCTTTAAATCTGCTCTCCCACAACATTTCTCCTACAACAGCAACATTGCCTGAAAGTTTGCCTGCTCTGCAGGTCTCTGTTGCTAGAGCTCTGGAGATGCAGTACATGAAAGTGGAGGGTTTGCCTATGTTGTGGTTGTGCTCCTCCCTGGTGACATAAACTAAGGTGACCAAAGAGTTCTGCTGGTAGGGCTGCAGCTACATTAGAAATTTTACCCATATATGAAACTTAACCAGGTCTGTGGCGTTTTTTTGGTTTGTTTGTTTTTGTTGTCTCTGGCTAATAGCTACACCAAGCACCACTTTACGATAAAGACCTGGCCTGAACAAAGTAAGAAAGCAAACAGCAATATAAACCCTTAAGAAATGCATGATTAAAAAGGCATTATCAGTATTTCAAACAAGAGCTGGAGCACTCAGCTATCTCCAGTATCATCTGCAACTGGAGCCATGCATTAGCTCTCCAGTGTGTCCCTACTGACTGTTATGTATTAAGCTTAAGACGCCCCATACCTAGGTTGAAGTCATACTTGACTTTTTGCAATCTGCTGCTTGGATCCTATAGGAATAGAAAAAAATAGATGCTGAAAAGCATTAAGACCCAAATTAATTAATTAATTAATGCCCAAATTAGCATTAAAACAGGTGAAATGGAAAAGGGTCTTTAAATACTGAATTAGGCAGAAAAACTGCTCTCAATGTAAGAGATGGTCACAAAAGCTAAAAACAATCTTAGGGCACTCTGACACTCTACAAAGGTCTGCATTTCTGCAGTCTGCTCTTCAGACACAACTCCTCTGCACTCCAGCCAGCTAAGTTAACCACTTTACTGGGAGCACATCCACCTGAAAAAGTAAATCTGGAGATAGGTAGAGTGGCTGAGTTCCCATGAAGAGAATCATTTTCAAATAAGACTGCAAGATTTCACTCAAATGCTCATGACTTCATTGCTCATGCACTTATTATTATTCTTCATGTGACGCGGCTTTTCAGTTTTCTTTCGGTGGGGTGATTTTTATCTATTCCCAGCTGACCTTTGAAGCAGCTTTTGTTCCCAAAAGGTAGACACAGGTCAACCTACACATACTTATACTATGCAGTAATTGATCACATTATATCCACTGTTCAAGTCAAGATCTGAACAGAAAAGCTATGAAATGTTTCAGAACTTAAAACTCTTCTAGGTAATTCTGATACAATAAAAACATGACTGGCATACCTGGTTTCAAACTCTGCTGTGTAAATGGCTTGAAACCTCATCGGATTAACTTGGTTTCATCTGTTACAAAACCAGAAGTTGCTTTCATTGTTGCGGATTTCAGTTGGCTAGACAACCATTATTTTCTTGCAGTGCCAAAGTCAATTTACAAAAGCAAAGGTAGGAAGGAGTGCTATAAGCAAGGCTTATTTTATTGCTTTATCTCCTACACTAGAGTACCAGCAGTCTGCAAGGCTATTCAGAGTGGGATGCAAACAGAAATGTGTCAATGCCACTCAGCAGTAGAGGAGATCTTCACTGAATGCCTCTGCTTGTGGCCTGGTGATAGTTCAGTTGGCTTCTGCTCCTCATGCTGCAGTGCGTGATCTGCTTGCAGTGTGTGTACACCTATGAAGTCTGCAACTTCTGTTCTAAGCCACAGGAAAGGAGGACAGCAGTCTCCTACAAGATGATCATCATTCAGCTTGTGCACTGACCCACTTGTACAGAACAATGCTCTTACCGTACAGTTCCCAGATGCTGAAAAGAAAGTCATTACAACAGCCTTTGGGAGAAACTTGTTATCAGAAATGTTTTGAGAGGTCAAAATTATTCTTGTTACCTATGTTTTCAAAAGTAATGCTCTTGTGAGCTATTTTTCTACCATAACAAATGTTCACTTCAGGTAAAACCAGATCTGTGGTCTTCTAACAATACTTCTACCAATTCTTAAGGTCATTCTTCTACTTTTTGGAAGGGAAATTGCCAGTTTTTTATGCTCTTGGGAAGATAAAGGAGAGAAGTTGAGAAACTGAAGTGGGTAATGTACACTTCTGTTTTTGGCACATTTTAAAGACCAAGGCACACTTCTTCCCTATGTGATTTGTCATTATTTAACCATAAGTTTGGCAATGAAGCCCCCAGCCAGCTAGAACTCCATTCCTCCTCCTCCTCCTGGTGCATAAAGAACTTAGAAGCCATCTGCAGGCCTGTAAAGATAGGAATTTTTCTCTGATATCAGAGCCATCAGATCAGGCCTTTTCTTTATTCCCAGAGTAGGTGTGACTTCTGCTACATGTACAACCTTGGCTGAGGAAGCTCTTGAACATCTCGTTCTGCACTAACACGAGAGGAGGTAACCTTTCTTAGCCAATTCCTAGTTCCCACAACTCTCCAAGGGGTGGTGGGGCGTGCAGCAGTACACCTACACTAACACAGACAGTCTTTTAATACAGATTTCAGTGTACGTTTCCCAAGGATCTGGGCAAGCCACATCAGTAACATTTCCCTTCCCTTTGCGTTTGGACTCCTACCTACCCCACGGTTTACTGCACAGTCAGAGTTCATTCACAGATATATACAGAAGGCATCAATATTGGGCATCATGAACTTGGGTCTCTGAGAACTAAGTTGATAATTACTATTTTTTAATTGTTATAATCATGTTCATCTGCATGAAATCTGCATAGAATGCATGAAGAGTGCATTATGTCTACTTGGATGGCTTCGTGTTTCTTCCATGGCCAATTATCTCTGACACCCCTTCAAAATGTTTTTTTCTAAACAGCTCCGGAAGTTCACTTGCCAGCGTCATTTTTAATAAAGGTAACTACTAGATTTGTTTGGCTTCATTTCCCACTTCCCTCTGACATTAAAAAAATTAGATGCAGCAGAGAAAAATTCTGACTTGATTCACTCAACTAGGATATAAACAGGTTTACACCAGACATTCAAGGAATTGTAGGGCCAACAGCAGCAATGTCATTATTAAAAAAATACAGTATTTTAATATAGTTAGTTTATTTAACATTAGCTTTTACCTCTATGTCAGCTGCAGCAAGCATCTGTTTTGGAAAGTCCTTTTTACCTTCTCAGGTTTAACAATGTGTTGCCTAAACCATTGGTCTATTTGGAATTTCAACATTTTTCAGATGATGTTTGTGGATGGGAAGGCCTGAAGCCTGCAACTACTTAAACACACATGTAAAAACCTGCATGAGTGGAAGTAAAGTTACTCAACAGAGACTGAGATAATAATAAAGACTTGAGTAATTCATATTCAAAAATATTTAATTTCCAGATGTTCATTATGTGAATTCTTGGTTACAGCAAAAAGATTGTAACATACAGCACCAGAGTGACATACTAAGCCATAACAATGCAGTTTATTACAACTGTGTAAACAAAAAGAAATATATCTGCAGTGGCATTCTTTGTGAACCAAATTTTGGTATACAGAATCTCAGAAGTCAAAACAAACACACAGGGAAAAAAAAATCGCCAACTTGAAGCACAGTATATGAACCTGGCCAAAATAGCCTAACCCACATTTTATATAAGAAAAAATTGTCATTAGAAATGTTGCTTGCTTGCTTTTAAATTAAATCTGAATTATTTCAACGCATCTGTCCAGAACAGGAAATATTTTAAGATATCAACACAGAGTAAATTTCTCTTAATTATAACTATGTGAATACCTCCTACTGAGACATTACTAAAGGGGACAAAAGATCATTTAGTAATACTATTATCTGTATAGTATGACATATTCCCTAGGAAATAAAAATAGGTTATTGGGGAAAAAAATGCAAGATGCTCTACCAAAGAAACTTTTTTTTCTGTGGGGCAGTTCTAGTCAGTTAGGAAAGATTACTTTTTTTTCTTATGGAAAACATACCCCCAGGTAGGTTCCTGCACAAAATCAGGGCACATAAGGGAGATATTCTTATGCCTGATGCCTTGACCAGAGCTGCTGCACCAGAAAGGCATGTGTTTCTTTCAGCTCCTGTGTAATATCTTTCACCTCCACATAGATGTGCTGGTGCCTTATGGGAGTCTGGTACTAGACACCTATACAAGGGCAACTGAATTGTTCTCCTGTTGTCTGACAAATGCACAGAAAACTTACACTCTCTAGCTGTAAGTTGACTGGTACCTCTCTGATTTGGTTAGCTGGTTTGCGTGCAACATACTAAGAACATTCAATAAATTAGAAAAAGCAAGTGTAAATTTCTAAGGGAAAAGGGACTATCTTATTTCCCTTAATGGAAGTAAATAATTTGATTTTAAGACAATGTATGTATTGTAAACTGTAAGATGGGGTTAGGACTTGAAATATGCTTCATTTCAAGTACACTTTAGGTGCTAGTATTTAAAATCTAACGTTGGGATTAAACCATTTTTGATAGCTTTCAGGTCATGCATTAGTTACAGCTTGCTTGATGGATACAATTTTGCCAGCAATATTTTAAATACTGTTCAAGGAGATCCTATGAATAAAAACATAAAGGTCTGAATTCCATTGCAATACATACACATACCTTTCACAAGGGGGAGATTTGCATATGTTCCATCTGTAGAGAATAGACCCCATAGTAACAAGAGGTATAGACAGAGCTAAGTTACAGTTATTAAACAAATATTCAAAAACCTGGAATATATAATTACAAGCTGGTATCTTCAGTTTACACAAAGCTATAAACCTGCTTTTTTGCTTTTTTAAAAAAGACATCCAATGTGTGCTGACTCACATGCTCACCCAGAGTCCATGCAAACTATTAAAAAAGGCCTTATAAACTCTTACCTTTCACAAATTCTGCATATACTTCATTTTCAAATAAACTGAAGCCCCCTCAGAAACAATGGGGACCTACAGACTACAGATTGACTCAAGCAACTGCTGTCCTTGTGGTAAGAAGGGAACAGCAGTATCAATCAGGAAATTTCATCGAATTGTACTTCACTTCAGACACTGTCAAGTCCAAATCCAGATTCATTTGCCACTAAGCAATAAGACTACCTTTAAAAAAGAAAAGTTATTTTCTCGGAGGAAGAACATTTTCCTCATAGTAGCCTGGATTTACTACATTTCCAGCTGGATCATATCTAGCTACCACAAATGTGGAGCCATCACTAGCAGATGCTTTTCCAACTCCCATCTTTTTTGTGTTCTTCCAAACCATTGCCGTGAAGTGACCTGGGAAAACGGATGCATTCATTTTAGGTAATAAGTCTATAAAATTCCTTTTAACACTAGAGGAGGAAAAAGAAGAAAGAAGCATAGAAAACTGCATTTGCCTCTCTGTCTAACAGGAGAACAAGCTAAGAACATGAAAAAAGGAAACTACAGACAAAACAACATTTTGTCTTGAAAAAGCCCAATAAGATTCCCCACTAATATTCCCAGTTCCATGTACTATTTCCAAACAAGAATACCTAGTAAGAAATTCATGAAAGAAGTAATTTGATGAGTATCTGATACAAAATTCTGCAAAGCAAACATCATGGTCTTTACTCCCTGCAGTATGATTGACAAACAGCAGTACGGACAGTGACTACTGCTCATTTGCCTGGACCATCTGATCCTCCCCAGTCAGGTCTGCATGCACAGCTACTCAAAATAACACTGTTTTCTGTGGCTTGTTCTGCCAAGTTCTAATAGCCACCTATTAGTTGTGGTACTCCATCAATTGTTCCCACTATGCATAGACAGATCCCAGGAGAAATAAGTGATTTTTTTTTTTCATCTGAAACAAGCCTGGGAGTATCTCGTGCTTGAGCATTGCTCAAGGAACAATGTTCTTAGGTTCATTCAACATCACATTGCCAGTAGGCAGTCAATGGGCTGTGGCTGAGCTCCAAATTACATCTGAACTAATCTCTGTGATTTCAGTGATGTACTTGGTAGAAGACGAATGTCAGCGTAAAAAACACTGATGTGTATATTTAGTAGACACCTGTATGATCACAGCTATATTTTCATAACTTCTCCAAATTAATTTGTCTTAAAAATAAGTTGCCTTTTAAAATCAGTGGCATTGAAGGAAAAAGTATTAAAAAACCCCACATATTTTGCTTAATTCCTTATTTACTACAGTTTCCTGTTACTCTTCTGTCAGTTTCTAACATAAAGCTATGGGAAAATTCTACCTCCCCTCCTCCAACTTTTTTCTAAGGAGAAAAAAAAAGATTTTTGCAAAGTCCTGAAACAAGTAGCCTAGCTGATTTTTTAAAATAAAAGCTGCACCTTGAAGAGAGTGTGCTCTATCTGAACTTACCTGTCCCAGAAGAAAACCCTGGGCTTTGAAAACTGTAATTTTTTATTTCACTGTACCATCTGTCAGCTACGTCCTTTCCTGAAACAAAAAAGAAATCTGCTGTGGAATCATGACAGGCAACATAAACAGAGAAAATGTAGCTCGCTTACAGCCTGGCCAGCAATGTCTTCTGCTAATAGCAGATAAGAATTGTGCAACTTAGGACAATTTCTATCAACATGGAGAAGCAGAAATGTTGAAACATAGGCAACACGGTAATACGTATTACCAACCAAAGAGTTACTGTTTCATAATACCTGTTGCTACTAAGCTACTAATTAGTCCACAATGTTTTTTGTTAACCATCTCATGCAATCAATTATGTGAGCTCTTCTCAACATCTTGACAAAAAAAAAACCCAACAGTCCATCAAATTCTTCACTGACGTGCCAGGGACTGTGTGGCCAGCTCAGTCCAGCTCAAAGCCCATATGGACAATCCATTTAGGAGCTGTACAATCACATAGAGTTGATCGCATTCAGGGAAGATCTCTGCAGCAAGGTGCTCTTCTGGTAGGACAGAGCTGATGAAGAGTGCTATACTATCACCAACAGATCAGGAAACAGGGCCATGCATCAATTCTTGGCTGTAGTTAAAACTTTGCAGGGTTAAAGTTAGAAAGGGCTTCAGACAAGAGAGATCGGAGCGACAAAGTATTTGGATCGAGATGGGGCAGAAATCCCTTTTGTCCTCAAAGAAATGTTTAACCCTTCTGAAACGCTCAACGTCATTATGCCATTTAGTGAAATTAAGGCACAAAGTGACGCTAACCAAAACCAAGAACAAGGAGAAGCAAAGGAGGCAAGCTCTCCAGCTAGCGCGTGTTCATTTGTTACTGCTACTGCATCAAGGCTTCCTTAGCAGTATCCTACTGTTTAGCGATGTATGAGCAGCCTGCAGTTTACAGGGCAAGATAATCAAGTGATTATTATACAAATTATACTGCTCTCTCAGTGAGCAAACGGAGCACATGCAGTAGGTGAACTCTTTTCCATGTTCTTTTTGTTTGGAGGAGAAAAAATACATTTAGGCTGGAAGACTTCTTCCCTGTTCTCTCCGTTCCTACAACTTCAATTATTCACACTGCAGTTTGTCCCTCTCTGTTTCGACCAGTTCTGCACACCTCTGATTATTTCCAGCGGTTTTGCAAAGTAGTGATGAAACAGGGAGTATAAAGGGAGTCAGGAAGGAACTACCTATTTGGTGCTCATGAGAAAAGGCTACACCTTGTCCAAATAAAACAAGTGGCTAAGTTCTGCCTAATTCAATTTACTGTCCCTTCCATTACTTGGGTTAAAGCTTCACCTCTAACTGAAGGTAAATGGTATCTTTGGAAAGTCCTTAGAGAAGCTGATTACGACAGGTTTGAACCCCAGTCTGGAAGACAGTGAAGACATACCTCCCTTGTCTCGGATGAGTGCTCTTGTCACGAGGTTTCTATGGTTAGCTTTTAGCAGCTTTTCCTTCTTGGGACATGTTTGAAAAGACTCAGATGAGTTTGCTAGGTTCTCTGAGCAAAAGGGCACAAGGACCTTTCTTACAGAGATGCCTCCCACCTGTGGATCCAAGTGTATGAAAACACCTCTTTACAGCCAAGCAAAATAAAGAAAATGAAATATTTGACATCCTCTAGTTCTCTGAAGTAAGAGCCACTAAAAATTAATGTACTCAAAAAGCAACTGCTAAACACTTGTACTTAGCACTTAAGCCATTATGGATTTCCACTTTGAGGTTCTCCAATTTGAGGTACTAGAGACAGACACCTCAAATTTACGTGTGTCTAGGAGCTGCTACCAAATGGAAGTCCTTGTGTCCAGCACCACCAGCTCCTGTCAAAGGCTTTCGCTGACTCCTGGCTGTAAAAGGATTGCTATGACCATCACCAGCGATATAGCAATACATGGCTGTAGATCTCTGTGGGTGATGATGCTTGCCAAAGAAATCCATCTTTGTTTTGTGTTGAGCAGTTAGGGAACCTGATGGAAGAGAGCAGATTCTGTTGATCTGCAATAAATCAGGTAGAACAGACAACACAGAAGGCAGAAGCTCAGAGCAGAACTTGCAGATGCTGTGCACTCAAAAGCCAAACATTATTTCTTTTCCATTACTGTTTCTTAGAAAATACTTATGTCAGACATTGGGGGGGTCCAGGTCTTTCCCTGAGCTATATCAATAATAATGAAATTTCTACTTAGCACTCCAGGAAGTATAACACAAGGTCAGTTGACTTAATAGCAAGCTGCCAAGGTTGCTAAGCCTACAGTCATGCAGAATGCTGGTCCCTGGTGGACTATTGGCTGCAGAACAGCAATGACTCATGTTTTGCTATTTTGCAGCAAAAAGCCTTAATCTTATACTGTTCCAGAAGTCAGACACTGAGCTGCTACTTTACGTTTCACATGTTTATGATTTCAATCTGCTAAAGTGATGGCATTGTTAGCCTGGCAACCTGGAGGTCAGAGCTGTCACTGAAAACAAAATATTGAGTGAACTGCCATCTCTGATACAGGTTTGCGAGCTGAAGGTACTGTGAACTTATCTACACTACACTGCTTGTTAGGATGGTGCTCTTTAGTAGAGCTAATTTACATTTTTCACACAAAAAGAGAGCAAAACCTCTCTTGATTCCCAAAGCAAATATTCTAAGAATAACAGTAGGTTCCTTCTCTCCCTGCCCAAAACAACAAACTCCATCAATATGTTTTATGGCTGAAGTCTGTAATGCGAATAAAATATCTGTTCCTTTGTCACTCCTACTAAAGCTAAAGTAAAGACTGAAAAAAATGCAAAGATCCCCCTGTATGTAATTCAAGCAGAAAAGAATAAGCAGGCAGTAAAAACCCCAAACAGATCATTCTGTCCCACCTTAGACTTTGAAACTATGAAGGACAAAATGACACAAAATGTGACGGCAGACATGACAGATCTTATAGAGCATATGAATTTTGTATGTATACCTGATTAAGTGACTACAATATGTAAATAAAGTTTTACAGAGGCAGGATCTGATTCACACCACTACTCACTACAGCACATCATTCTCTCCATTAACGCGTCAGTGCGACATAGCATAAAATGAGTAGTTCAAGAAAAAATAAATCCCATTCTGTTTACTGTAGCCCTAAGAAATGTGACTAGGCTTCCTGTGACAAGAACTTAAACTGCAAAATGTTAAGGTTGCGAGACACATGAAAGTTGTAACAGACAGAGTAGCTCTTTAGAATTTTTTTTAGGAATTTCATCATGCGAAATGTTTATGACTGGTTAATTGAAGGAAGATGACAATGGCATGAGATAAGAATATCCCAGTCCTGTACATGAAAGGGAATGAGCATAGTTTTGTAACACAATCTAGGATGTGTTAATTCCCAGCCTTAGCCAATGAAAGTGTGCAACTTTACTGTGGCCAGACTGTGAAAGCCTACAAGCTACTAGCTATGCTCTCCAACTTTCATATGCAGAACCAGAGTATCATTACGTGGTACTGCTGCCATCCTCCTTGAATCAATGAGCCATCACATCATAGGCTGTAAGAAATTAACGATCGATGTGTTCCCAGCAAAACAGAAAGTCACCAAAGGACCAGGCAGCTTTCGAAAGACTCTGCCTTGAGACCACATTATAGAAACAGCCTGAAAGGGAAGGGAATGAACTGTATCTGCCAGATGTCACAGGCAGGGGGGGGAGATGAGGGGATTCCTATGTGAAATGTATTACTTTGTGGGAAGACAGGCAGTTATCTAGTGATTAAACATGCTCTCTTTCCTCTGAAATACTTCTCCTCTGATTTTTCCCATGGGGTGGGGAGCAATGCAGTGTTGGAACATCAGCCAAACTGCTCTTTAAATTGATGGCTGATACACAGGGGACTACGGGAGACTCTGTCTTGAGTCCAGTGACTCTTGAGCTGCCCCGGACCTAGAGGAAATGATCTGATATAGAACAAGCACTGAGGCCAGCAGCCTACTGAGCCTAACTGCTCTAACAGAAACTTGCATCTTCAAATGTGGTCGTTCAGAGAATTGGCTGTAGTATTTTCATTCAAAATTACTGCAGAATAAGTGATGCAGTTATATTTAGTGCCAGTTTACCTTGCATTTGAATGTTCCATTCAAAAAAAACCCC